AGCGCCATGGACGACATGGACGATTTCGGCGACCTCTACGGCGACCTCGATTGCCACGTCAGCGATAAGGAGGGGGACGAGATCAAACCGAATCCAGAGAAACCTGAATCGAATCGAGGGGAGGAAACTCTCAAGTCTAAAGAGGCGGCGGATGTAGAGGAGGATGAATGCAGCAATAGCGACAGCGATGACGATGATTTTCGAATAGTTTTGAACGAGAGCGAGTGCCCTAGGTTCCAGCCTTCAAAAGGGGGAGTCAGTAATGGGATTGATGAGGGTGATGACTGTGATAAAATTGCTGATCATTTGAACAATGATCAGAGGTCAAGCGATCAGTTTCCGCCGCCGCCGGCCGATGAATCCATGCAAGGAATGAATGTCGATCATCGTTCTGGTCGGGTATGGGAACATTCATGTTGTTTTATCTGTTCTTTTTTATCTACGTCTCATGATATTAGCACTAACATATTAGAATGATTTTTTTTGATATTCAGTAAATTATCTAGAATTCAAGACCAATTTGTGGTGTTGCTAGAGAAATTCTTATCGATAGGAACTCCTCATACAAGTAAGGGATCTTCCAAGAAATTAGGTGTCTTGGTGGTGGTTGGATTAATCTCTTTTATTGTCGGATTAATGGACTTGCTTATACTGAGTAACAGTTTTAGGAGCAATCTGTCTAAGTTTCTCTGTGGTGCAAAATAGTTTTTCAAAAGATTACGGACCCGTGGATGGAACTTGCAATCATTGTTGAGATAAGGGCTGGGCCGCTGATCTGCATGTTTATGGTCAATCATTCTTCTAGAAAATTATGTGCTGACCAGTTTTCTTCTTCAGTTGATTCAACTTTATTAGCATGTTTGGGGGGGGGAAGCTTTAAGCTCGTTTGACGTCTACCCAAGTCTCATGTACCCACTACGGCTTGTCATTAGAATAATGCATGTGAATGACCTTGATACGGAGCTGCTAACTTTGACGAATGTGCTAACTATGTATATGATGCCGAAAATAGACCTATTTGATATCACCTTTTCAATTCAAATTAGCAAAAGCAATGTCTCCTTGCATAATATGGATTCCAAACATTCATGATATGTATGTGTGAGTAAATTACTTATCCCTCGGTCCATTAGAGAACTCTCTCTCCAAGGATTGTGAAAGATGTTCCACTAGAAATATTCTTGTTATTGCTTTGACTAATATTCCCCAAAAAGTGGATCCAGCTCGGTATCACTTGTTATCAATGGCTACTCCAACAGGAACTAGATTGTAGTCATGAAAGGAAATATGCACCAAAACACGTGTACATATACGTTTCACAATCTCCT